CCGTCCTTCAAACGCAAGGTGGAATAGCCAGGGAACTAGGTATTTGTCACGTTTGTCTGGCAATCTTAACAGACTAACACATCGAGATGACGAACGCGTCAATGAGTGCCTTTGGGAAAATGTCAGAACAAACGGCACGAGGTTACAAATGAGTCCAAGACATTGAGACAATAGCGTTCGCAGAGGCGGTCCAAAAACAGATGCGATAGATGGAAAAGACTTTCCACAAATTGGGAAAAGCTCTGGGGATTGATGATGAGGCAGAACAGGTTGACAGGACCCGAATCATTCAAGAAAAGCATGATCTGAATCGCGCCTTCAATACATAGCGTTATCCAAAAGACCCACCTCGCTGGCACAAACCGTCATACTACATTTCGCTGGCCGTCCCTCGCTAATGCCGATCTGCCAGGTTTAGCGCCAGCTCGTTCTGAGCCTAAATGGGTACCACACGCATGGGGAGAACAGGCACAGACTAACGCCATGTGGGGATACGTAGTATTGTGTTCGACATCGGCGTATGCAAAGGGTCGCACCGCATGGTCGCATGTAGATCAATCTCGCGGACAGCAAGGTCAATGTCAATGAATATTTGATGTCATGCTAGATATGATGATAACACGCTAGAGAATAACCAGGCGTTCCAGATATATGTGCGAGCTGCACCCTCATTAATACAGATGAACCATATGATAGGAGATAAATACACATAAATATCAAGAAACCAGGAAAGGAAGACGTCACAAAATACGCGAGTCTTTCAGAAGGTGCTGTACGAGTATCGTCTCCTCGATTGCAATGAAGACTAGTGAAAAGAGTCTAGTATCCGTCGTATCGGTAGCTTGCATCAAGCTAAGACGCAGTGAATGGTGAGCGAAGCGTGATAAATGACACTTACTGAGGGTAAACATGTAGGCGCGCCCGGTTGGTTTGCCTGAACGCCCGTACAATATATTTTGTCGCTTCGTCGACGTCTGCGCCGCCTGTATATGTTGGGATGTATTTCTCGAGCGGTGCCTGCAAAGCGTCAACGAATCTGTACGTGTTCGCAACAATGGATACATACCTTTGGTAGCTTTTTCTTAAAGACATCCATCTTGTTTAAGAATAAGATTATGGAAGTGCCCAAAAACCATCGGGAGTCGACGACCGTCTCGAATAGGATCAGTGATTCCTGTATGCGATTCTATTGACAAAATTAGTGACAGCTGAGAATCGTCCATATACAGGACCTACCTGGTTCTCCCCTTCTAATGATTTTTGATTGTATTCCGATAATGCTGCACAGAAAATGATGCTTTTCACGGGTTCGAAATAATGTATCCACTTCTTCAGTTGTGAGAGCTGGACGCCGACGTCAAGTATATGGATGCTACGAGACCACAATCAAAAACAGAACTTCGACATGCCGGTGTACTCACGAGAGCTCTCCGCTGATGAACCGCGCTGAGGTGATGCCAATTGTCTTCGTCTGAGCTCGCAGTACATCATTTTCTGTTGGTGTATAGTCGGGGGCGCCTATACGGAGCACTTCCGTAAAGAAACTGTAAATGGACACCGTGAGTATTTAGTGAATATAATTACTCAAGTACCCACTAGTCAGCTGAGTCCATAAGATAGAACTGGCTCGAACAATCCATCACTTTGGGGATGATAGGATCTTGCCATAATTCATGAATGGCTCGTGCAATATCAGCGGAGAAAACAAAATCGGGAGTGCTTTCAATCCTGTATTCGACAATGCGTTCGGCAAATGTCTACAGAAAGTGATAAATTAAGGAAGCAGAGAAAGCGGGAGAGAACGTACCCGATTCGCAAATGTTACACATTCCACATTCATGTTATGCATCTGTCGGACAATGGCTTGCGCGGAGTCGAGAGTATTCCGATATATTGTCGGACGGAACATCATGAGTTCGTTCTTGGTGAAGCCATTCTGATGAGTGATTTTCATCCGCTTGAGTATTGTCGACTTTCCAGATTCGCTGGACCCTGAGGTTGGATATGAGCAGTAAGAACAAAGAGAGGGAGTTGGACGGATGAGGGCAGTTGAAGGAAATAGACCAAGTGGATGCAATCCCGAAAATTGTCTCGATCATAAGATAAAAAATGAAATAGACATAGATTGCCAGTGAGGCAGAAAATACATACCGAGAAGAAGTATCCGATACTCCTTCCTAAACTTCCTAGCTATCATAGAGTCTTCTTTTATTTGACGGTCAATAGCATTTGACCGTGCCTTTGCTTGTCTGCTGTCTGGATGGTACCATGCTGATACATAGTTGCCCATGGATGTAGATCAAGTAAGTAATAGTAGTGTTGCAAGGGTGAGGGAGGGGGCCTGTTGACCAACTGAGCCTGAGAGACCCAGTAGGATGTACGCTCCTAGACCCCAGCAACTCCTCGGCTAGTAATATTATCCGAGTAAGTGCGTACCTGTGGCGCCCTATGCTACATGGCATTTTGCCCACTGAATGATTGGCCTCGGGGCTTGTCGTTCGTTAGATGAGAATTTCACCATCGACAGCGAACTTCACTTGTTCCCCGTCTATGTCTATTGTTCAGCTTTAATTTTTGTAATTCTGTTTATTACCACATCGTAATCCAGCTTTCAAGTGCGCGTGCTGAAAGTGCTGATGAAACTCGATGCGCAGTACAAGTAAGTCTTCGAGGTAGCTGAGCAGAATTACAACCTCAGCACCGCTCAGTAAGGTATTTTCTGCTCGTGTACTAACGCCCAACCCTGCAGTCTCCCTCCGCTGACCTCCAACCTCCCGTGCCACGCCTAACCGCAACCGTACGAAGCCTGGCGGCGGCGGGTAGGTGCCAGGACGGTGCACTGTTTAATGTGAGTGACGTCGGTCCCTGTCCTGTTCGCTTTGCTGACAGAACGCCAACTGTAGTCCCTCGGCGTAGACTGCGAGATTGCCCGAGACACAGATGTGTGCTGCGCACGATTTTTCGAATACGTGACAAGCGAGAATGTCTCTCACTTGAACGATGCTGTGCAACATATTCAGTCTGTTCGGGACCAGTGTCTAGTCAGCCATTCAGACCACGCAACGCTCTCATCAACCTTGCGTATGCGTGCTTTCAAGGATATATTCTTCAAGATACTGATACAACCACTTCTCTCTTCCGCGACGCACTTCAAGCATTGCGTCCGCAGCGCCACCATGATTACCCCTCATCTCTATACAATCTCACCGAAGCCCTGACTTGGTGTCACGACAAAAAAAGCACTGCTGCCGACATCCGCGAAGCTGCCCGACCTTATCATGAACTACTACCTCTCTCCAGAGGGCACCTACCTTCGTAGCTTCGCGGCAGGGGCAAATGGTGTCGATTATGTGATCGGCAGGTGCAACAATCTTCCAAAAGATGCATCCGATGAAGGCCATCAACTCCGCCCTCGATAAGCTTGCACGAGCAGTTGAAGCACGCTTTGACTAGCACGACAGCACCGATCGATAGGGGCATAACAACTCGGTCGTGAAGCCGTGTCTCTGTGCCCCGAGGGACATGCTGGCCATGGCATCTACCTGAACAACTTGGCCTTCTCACTCGTGTCCCACTTCAATCATTGAGGCAAACCTACCGAACTCGATGAGACCATCTCTTTGCACGGAGAAGTGCCCTGTTGGGCACGAATCTCGTGTTTTTTCATTGGACAACCTAGGGGGCGCCCTCGTCATCTGTTTCAACACATGCGGCGACATCGTACGCAGACTTGCTAGCGGTAGCGCGTTACGGCCCAGTCATCATCCTTATTGCCAGTCAATACTCATGCAGCGTTATCATTATTCCGACGTCAGGAGACCCCCATCATGTTCCCTTGCCGTCTGTTGCTCTCGCAGAGCTGAGCAATCTCAAGATCGCTTCGCCAGGGTAATACGATACGCATCTATCGTGGGCCCGAAAGTGCCGCGGAACGATCTAATAGCCCCCTTGCGCCGGAATGGCCGCATCCTCGCAAGCGCATCGTACGACGACACAGCGCAATTATGGAACCTCGGCAACAACCAATGCATCAGTTCGCCCCTCCATCATGCATCATGTATCTGACATACAATCTGTGTCGTTTTTGGCAGATGTAAAGCCACTAGCCACCGCCCCTCAGGACGAAAATGCGTGCACTTGGGATATTTCCGTAATAGGTTGGCCTTGATGAACTTTTGTTGGATCAGCGCGACAAGTCGCTACTTGCTGTACGTGACACTTTCATCGCAGATCTTATTAATCATTATCAACATATGACATGTAGGTTGATGCTACACGACGTCCAGTCCGTCAGCAAATCGAGGTATTCAATCGGGTGCCCCAATACCATATTACCTCTTTTCATCGTCTGCCAACACGGAGCGTTTGCTAGAGGTTGACCGCGTTATAGACTCGTTTGCTCGTCATCATCATCTTTCTCGTGCTGCCCATCTACTTACAGCTAAATCCAAATCGATAGGCCAAATTCCATTTTACAAACTTACCGCCTTAGTTTAGTTTTGGAGCGAAACAACCAACCGCCTCCCCGCCTTCCCTGACTGTTATATCACATATTTCTAATTTGAGCATGATGTCGTCGGGCTACAAAGACTACTCTAATAAGGGTCAGCGCTCAGCCCCAGTGATGTTCTAGTGCGTCTCCGGCACTGGGAAACAATGGCATAGTGTGACGATGACAATATATTTCAGCTCCACCATTGAAAATATATAGCAGATGAGGACGACCAGCTTCCAAAGGCTTTTGAATGACAGACCCGTGAGATCTTGAGAGGTGAAGCGCACGATTGACGGTACAATGACCGGAGTGAGTGAAATGGGCAATATCCCTCGATTTCATGTAGGTAGACATTGTAACTCATTGTTGTTTGATGGACTCAGTATGTGTCGACGCGTGACGGATGATATAATATAGGATCTTTGTGATAACCACTTAGCTAAGACCAGTTAGATGACGAAACCATCAATGAGTGAATGTCATGGTGTTCCGAGAGAAAAAACTAACTTGTCCGCAGGTTTCGAACCTGCGCAGTCCAAGAGAAAACAGATTTTGATTCTATTGTGGTAACCACTTAGCTAAGACCAGTTAGATGAACTTCTGACGAAACCATCTACGAGTGAATATCAGGGTGTTTTGAGAGAAAAATAACTTGTTGGTAGGTTTCGAACCTGCGCAGTCCAAGAGAAACAGATTTGGATTCTGTTGGTGATCACTTAAAGCACTTTGGCCAGTACTTAGTCAACATTGAGTGTTCAGATTAATCAAAAAGGCGCCTCCATTGCCCATGAAGCAGAGAAAATAACAGACTCCAGGAACAACCACATTGACCAAGTCAGCAACGCACTTCATATTGTGCCATCAGCCACAGCACCAATGCAAAAGCAGAAATAAGACTCACTGTCCAAATGTGCTCATGAACGGCCTGCCAGCCCATCGGTAAGCAGTCTTACTGGCAGACTTTCTGACCGCTGCGCTATTGACATTGCAAGGTGCAAGAGATGAGCAACAGCGTTGAATACTGGATGCAAAGCAAGCTACTCATACTTACGTACAATAGAGCACAGCGGTTACTGCAGCAATCTTTGTTCGTAGCGCAGATATCAAAGTAAGACTTGCACTGTGCGGCTGTGACAGACATGCATGCTGCCAAAGTAGTAACGACGACGAGGAACTTGAAGGAGAAATGCATGATATATATAAAGCGATAAAAGCTTCGCAAAGGGGACTCTGAACTAATGGGGTAGACAGAGCTCACTTTTATATCCTGAAAACATTATTGTGGGCAAAAACAAAAACTCGAAGCTCTATCAATTCGGCAGATTGGTTGCGCCTGAATGGCAGAACTTCACAACGGATGATTTAGGATGAATCTAAACTCATCATAAGATGGACCCAGGACACATGGCAGTCAAGGGCAACGACTTACGAGGAAGCAGACGAGCACGCAAAGAGAGCGGCAGTAGGAGATCGGACATCAAAACCCCGACAACTCCCCAGATCTCTCACAGCGAATTGCGAAGAGAGGCGAAATCCGCACGCTGCCCTACAGCAAGTCAGCGCTCAAGCAACGCTTCTACGCCAAAATAAAACTAGAAGCCACAACCATCACTCGTGCCGTTCGAGCAATAATTTTTATTCATATCGGTGTAGTGCTGTCCAATTGCCCCTACGTCTCAGAGATCCTGCGGTCAGTGCAAGGGGTCTGGACGATCATCTCTGGGGGTTAATGCAAAGATGCTTGCAAAGGTGCTGGTCAATCCGAGAGAATGGACCTTCGACGAGAGACGTACTTGCTTTGCTTGAATAAAAACTCCATATTTCTCACTGCATTCAGGCCTGGAATCCAAAGTGATAGCGGGAATACACCACGATGATAATATCGAGAGGGAGATTCATATCCACCCGAACCTTGTCACGGTTGTTTGCTGTATGCGCAGCAATAGCCCCTGCGATGACTGTAGGCTCAAGGTCCGACCATGAATGTGACATGGGGAGCAACTTGAACGGAGTAATATCCAATACCCAAAGTTCGTTACAGCTATGTGCTTCTTACTTGACACTCCGACATTTTTAAGACTTGGGACGATTTTCAACAACTGCACGATGTCAGACCACGCACAAGCACCTACTAGTCAATCGAAGTCGCCTGACCAGTAGGTGTCGCATCTGCTTCGTCTTCAATGGAATCCTTGCTTCACGAGTCCGAAAGCTCTACGTCGACTGGAGTGCGGCAGTACTCGGTGACCGATATGCATCTGGGCAAGACACTGGGTCGTTGGTGAACTCGACGCCTATGGCACGCTTGTCCCTGTGGTTCGGAAAAGACATTAATATTGAGAGTTGGTTACGGGTGCGATATCAGGTAGATTACTCACTCGCAGATGACGCGTATTAGGTCCAGTATCTTCATTCACTGCATCATCAAGGACATCAACCTTTTTATTGTCTTGATGCATCGACATCAGAACTTGAGGGCATGAAATGAGGACCAAGAATGGTAAGAACAGGATGGGACAGACATACCCTCCGATCAGCCCCGGCACGCGAGCTAAGTCTCGTAGCAGTAACTACCCTCCACTCCCTAGGATCCACAGCTCCAACAGCAACATCAGGCGTCTCCACGAGCGCAAAGTTGAAGTAATTGAGAAGCGTGCGGACTACACGGGTAAATGTTGAGCATGTATGACAGGTCGAGAAAAGAGGAACACTCACTGAGCTTGGCGGTTGAAGACATGAATGATCTCGAGAGCGTAATGACTTGCTCTAAGTCACTGGCATCTCTGTCTGGACTCTGGAGTACTGTAGAGATACGCACTTAGCTTCGTCACAGCGTCACACGTCCAACGAATCGAGGCTATTTCATGTGACTGTCACACGAAGTTGAAATCGTCGAAGGTAAATTGTGACATACGGTAAAACATGAACAAAATGCGTAGATTACAGTCAATTTTTCCAAAAAATTTTGTACTAGGTATTTTCCATGCGTCTGCGCTTTTCATGACCAGCATCACCTTCGGTGGTGGAAGCTGAGGCAGTGGTGACAGTTCGAAGCTATTTCTAAGGTGTCACAGGCCACAGCGGTCTTCGAATCTTCGAAGCTAAGGTTCGGTTGGTCACACCCAGATGACATCTAAGCTAAGTGCGTATCTCTACAGTAAGTGCCTTGACTTCAGCGAAATCGCACCATGTGACCGTTCAGTTTTCCTTATACTATGTCGGAAATTTCTAGGGAGCCTTGCAAGGTCTCGTAATACATTTTAAGGACCGATTTTCACACACTGCATTATAAGGCTTTGAAATGATGGAGATAATCTTAGATGGTGCTTTAAAAGGATATGGCTCTCACGTTGTAAGTTGTCTTAAAATAGAGTCCGTTGTAGGGAAGATCATGTAAGTGTTGCAAGGTCTTAAAAGGGTTGGGACAATAATAGAAGATAAAAATAAGTTTCCAAGGCCTACGCTATCACTGCAACGGTCCTTGCTACCATTATTATCTACTATCTACTGTTATCTACTACTATCTACTATTATCTATTACAATCTACTATTACTATTATCTATCACTACTATCTAATGCTAACGTATCTATTACTATTATCTAATGCTATTGTTATTGAAGTCTGTTATTTTATTGCACCTTAAGGGATTCGAACACTCGTCATTAGTATTATTGGGTATTAGAATCCGTAGTACTCACCGGCATAGTTACCACTAGGTTATTAGGGCTCTGAATACATTGGAACTTACTTCATTATATCGTGTCCTTGAGAGCCTTATAAGGAAACTGTAAGACATAGTGATTCAGATGACATTGAAAATGCGCAGTGCAACGACAAGAAGTAACAGTACGTAGCATTAATGTTTGCAATAAAATTAGCGTTTGCTCCTCCCTCGCCCTCTAGGTTTAGCAACCGCCTTGCTGCTGCCGCCGTGACGAGTAACACGCTTGGGGACCTCAACTTCGGGCTCTAGTGTGTTAGTTGGCTCAGGCGCATGTGTCAACTCACTTGCAGTAGCGTGAGCTCGAGGTTGGCGAGAAGATACACTGCGAGGTGCCGATACAGCTGGCTCAATGGTATTGTCTAGCGTCAACCGATTGACACCAAGCTGCAGCTGCGCAGTTGCTGATGCAGATTGACCTTGATTGACAGATATGGAAGCGCGGTAGTTGGAGATGATGTCGACAACTGCTGAGGTAGCTGGGATGGATGTGAGTGCGGAAGTGACTTGAGCGGGAGCATCAAGTTCGTCCAAGAGATCGTCTTCCCAAGTTCGGGTCTGAGGGGCGATGGAAGGAGAATCGGGAGATGGTGCAAGACTGGAACTGGTGACATCAAACACCTCCTTATTGAAGTAGTCGATGACGCTGCGGGCCCACGGAGTGCGCTTGAACAAGTGCTCCAAGTAAAAATCGTAGTCCGCGTGATAGTTGATCTTAGTTTCTGCGCCAGTCGCTGTGAACTCAGGATCGTGCGTCATCAAGAAGCGTGCCTTTGAAATCAGGTCATAAATAACGGAACGTAAATGTAAGACAATGAGCTCACTCACCATAACAGCAGCGCCCGCAATCAAACCTTCAGTGACGCATTGCGCATTGCAACGCTGTCCCCTAGCCTTCTGACCCTTAGTCTTTCCGGAAAGTATTTTCTTCCCGTACATCTCAATGCGAATGATCTGAAATGAATGTTGTCAGCACATCGTCTTTCATATTACAATTGTACTTACTTGTACTAGCACCGGATTCTTGAGGAACTCGTCAGCCACCATGGCATCTGGTCTTGCGAACAGAATGGGTGCTAGCCGAATGTACTCTCCTTCGCCATTTTTCTTCAGCAGACGAAGGAGGTCAGGGTTGTCTCGCTTTCGGGCATCCGTTTGAGATGAGAAGAGGGTAGGGTCGAGCTTGAGCGATGCAAAAATGATACCTGCGCAGCTCTTGATAGCATGCACAATGTTTGACCGCTCAGCGCTAACTGCAGCACGAAACTGAGAAGTATCATGTAGGTTAGTTGTAGGACAGTCTACCAGTCAAAAGCACATACCAATGAGTCAAACACTGTGTATTTCTCCATGGAGCTGTGTAAGTCCTTGGACACACACTTGTACAGCTCTGCCATAGACCCGTTGAGTTTAGCCTCGGGAGATGCCCAA